CCTGAGGCTGCCTGGCTGAGGCTGGGGCGGGAATGGGCCACGTTCTGGCCCCAGCCGGGCTGGAGGGGGTCCCGGGACACCGAGAGGGAACCCCAGTCTCGCCGGACAGCTTTGCCGCTGCAGACTTTGGCTCCCAAGGGTCTTAGGGAGAGGGCTTGTGCCCTGGCTCCCAGCTCCCCGATTCAGAGGGCACGTGGGGCCAGCCTTTGGGGACTGTTACTGGCCGTGGAGGGACCTTTTGAGAAGGGTCACCCCGCGAGCCTTGGCCTCCTGTGGTCCCCCTTGTCCTGCCACCTAGCAGCCCTTGTCTGGCACATGATGGGTGGGAGGCCTTTAGGTGGGAGGGAACTTTAAAAAATGAGTCCTTTTATTTTCTTTTAATTTTTTTATTGAAAGAAAAACACGGGAGTCTCTCTTGCCCCAGCAGTCGCTCAGGTGGTGGTGTTTATTGCCTTTACCTAGGGCTCAGGGAGGCCACATCCTGCCTACAGGCAAAGCTCAGAGCGGCTCTCACCCCAGCCCTCCCCACCCCCTACCCCCACCCCCGGGGTGGTAGCCACACACTTAGATAGTGCATGGCATCCGAGACCCGCTGACCCCGTCTCTCCATGGACACCAGTGCATTCTCTGGTCTCCATACGAAGCCAGCACTAGCTTCAGCGTGGCCTTCGGAAGCCCTGAGATCTGGCCCCTCCTAGCCTCATCGTCCCCATCCCCTGGCCTCGGCCTGGCACCTCTGCTGCTGCTCCCTCCACTTGGCTTGCCTTTCTCTCCAAGCCCATCCTCTTCTGCTCTCAGCACCCAGTCAGCTTTTCCACCCCTCAGAGCCCTGCTGGCCCCCTTCAATGCCCAACTTGTCACCTCCTCCGGGAAGTCTTCCTTGGTGCTTCCCAGATTCATGCTGGAGTGTGTGGCTTAGTCCCCGGTCCCTGGTGGCACCTTGTCCCTGTGTTTGTTATGACCCCCGTTGCCCTGGCCCACCCCCAGCCTGCACCTGGAGCAAGGTGTGTGTGCTCAGCGAGTTGGGTGGGCAGGGATGAGGGAGCAGAGAAGGCAGAGGAAGAGACCTGGGTGCTGTGTGGATGCCTGAGAGCAGGCTGTGTGTGTGTTGGAGCGTCACCTGCCCGCTCCTGTGGCTGTGTCGTCCTGCAGCCCAGGACTTTCTGGAAGGTGCCCCTGAGGTTGAGGAATGTCTGCCAGCCAGAGAGCTGGGGGCAGAGCAGGGCCCACCGTCAGGACTTGGGGGCTGGATCCAAAAGCTCTGCAGCAGCCAACGCCCCCCTTCCCTCACCCACTGACCTTGGTTCCCTCCCCAGCGGGGTCATTAAACTCCCACCCATGTTCAGGTGCGGGACCCTCCGGGCCTGCCCCTCCCCATGACCTATCCTGACCCCTTGGGCTTTTGTATTTCCAACCTACACGTCCAATGACACCGTGTCCTGGTAACGCAATCAGTGTCTTAGAGCCAACCTTCTAAACGTGTCTGCTTCCTTCTCCATCCTGGAAGATGTGGGGGTGGGGCTGCCACCTCCACACCCCGGCCAGTGTTGATCCTTCTCTCAAATTAGGCAAAGACAATGACAGATTCCCCAGTAAACCCGGGAACCCAAAGGGCTGCCCTCTGCTGCCCAGGTAACACGGGCCCGGTCAAGTCCGGTGGCGACGGGCACCTGTGTCTAGGATGGAACTGTCTTCCTCGGCCGCTCGATGAGTCAGAAAGTCCGAAGCTCCGACCAGACGGGAAGCCAGGACCCTCCGGGCATGCTTGCTCTGGCTCTCTGAGTGTCTGGAGAGTGGACAGTGACAGAGAGAACTTTGGGGTGTTCATCGGCCAGGGAGGGTGCAGGTCCTCCATCTGGTGGGGTGTGGCTCTCCCAGGGCAGGGAGGTGGGGACGTGGTACTGAATCTGCAGTGAAAACAACCCCTGGTAGGAGGATTTTGTTTTGGCCTTTTCTAGAGTGTTGCCGAGACAATGACAGGGTTGGGGGCGCATAATTGAGGGTTCTGGTTAGCGGAGCCCCAGTCGACCGAGGTTTCCTGACCGCCTTGCTGTGGGATGGCGCGGCAGCCCCTGGTCTGTTCCTCTTTTCAGACTTTCACGGAACCTCAGTGTGGAAGGGGGCGCCCCGTCGTGTGCAGATAAGGTCTCAGAGGGCGTGTGATGTGACTCGTGTGGGGGCACACAGCCATTCCTGGTAGACCTGGGACTCGAACTCAGACCTCTGGGCTCCCTTTGCAGGGAAAAAATCTGCAATGCCCATTGCTCTTTCCATGCTGAGTCAGCCCTTCTCTGGCATCATTCCCAGGATGGGGGACACAGGCACAGTTCGTCCCTCAGCTGCAGGCTCAGAGCCAGGACTGTCTGTGGGGGTGTATCAGCCTGGCCTGTGGTCTGACTGTGTTCTCCATCCTCCCAGAATCCGGCCTCGCTCCCCACCCCTCTGGCCTCCGCCTGCGCACCGAGGCTCTGCCCTCTGTCCTTCGGCGAAGGAGTGGAGTTTGACCCTTTACCACCGACGGAAGTAAGGTAAATATAGCAGGCGCCGAGTTCATTTCATTGTTAAATTTTTCACTTTTTATTCCAGAAATTAATGATTATTTTTTAAAAAATTAGTTAATCAGTCCTGGCCCATGTGTCTCAGTTGGTTGGAACATGGTCCTGTACACCTAGAGGTGGTGGGTTCAATTCCTGGTCAGGGCACATACCCAGGTTGCAGGTTCCATCTCTGGTCAGGGCATGTGCAGGAGGCGGCCGATCTGTGTGCCCCTCTCATATTGATGTTTCTTTCTCCTCCCCTAAAGACTAGTCATAGTTTGGTGGGCACTCTTTCAGATTTTTTCCTGCATTCTAACGAGTTAAATATATGGACACACTTTTTAAAGTAAAAACATGATCATGTTACACATAAAGTCCTGCAACTTGCTTTTTGAACCTCATATGTCATGGCCATCAGAGGTTTAACATTTTCTCATAAACTCGTTCCTCTTTCCAAGAGCTGGTCCCCACTCCCCCCTCCCCCACCTCCCAACCCTGCCTCAAGGTGCTGTCGCCCTGTTGTAGGTTATAATTTCACTGGGACAGCACCATCCTCCCTTTGGGACTTTATCTCATCCAGGATTATCTGGGGGCAGATTCACTGAGAGGCTCTGTTCAAGATCTGTCTTTTTAGAGAAAGGAATTTTACTTTTGGGAGCCGGTGGTTTTATAGCTAGAGTTTCAGTTGCCTTAACACAAAGGGCCCTTTGACGTGGAACAAAGGAGGCTCACCACTTTGGAGGTGAGCAGTTCAGCCCTTTATTCCTGCAGAGCTTGTATTTTGAACAAAATGAGGACATGACTTCATGACATTAGCTTTCACCAGCCTCTTACCTACTCGCCCGGGGAGAATGGGCGTGTCCCTCCCGCTCACTGGGAAGAATGCTGAGTCGGGGGGGGGGGGGGGGGGGGGGGGGGGGCCGCAATGCTGTTAGATGTGTCTATGTGTGATGCTCGTGTACATTTCAGTACATATGAAGCTGTAATAAATTCTACAGGAAAATGAACTCATGCTTCGCTTACATTAAAAAAGAATTAACTCCCGAATTACCAAAGAAAGACTTAAGAAAAAATAAAGTAGCTGCTGAGGAATATTGATGTTTGTTTATTTTATGGCAATCAACATTGTAATGGGTGCCCTGGCCGATGCTCAGTTGGTTGAGCGTCACCCCATGTAACGAAAGTTCACAGGTTCGATTCCCGGTCAGGTTCGATCCCTGGTCAGATATGTGTGGGAGGCAACTGATCGATGTTCCTCTCTCTTTCCTTTTCCCTTCCTCGCTCTCTAAAAATAAAATCAATAAAAACGTATATATTTTTTAAAAAACTATTGTAATTGGCTTTGATTGATAAGGCCAGCTTGAAGGCCAAAGTGCACAAGTACTGGTATCACCAAGCATTCAAAAGCAGCATCTAAGATTTCTGGGTTCCTTCATCCTCTCTTTAAAGAGCTAATTGATCACTTTAGGGGATAGCGAAACTGTTCACCCTGGTGTAGCAGAAGAACTCGCGTTGTTATATAGTAACTAGAGGCCCAGTGCATGAAATTTGTGCACGGGTGTGGGGGGTCCCTCAGCCCAGCTTACAACCTCTTGCATTCTGGGACCCCTCAGGGGATGTCCGACTGCTGGCTTAGGCCCGATCCCTGCAGTCGGACATCCGGCAGTCGGACACTCCTCTCGCAATCCGGGACCGCTCGCTCCTACCCGCTCGCTTGCCTGCCTGCCTGCTCAGTGTGGGTCATAGCGACCGGTCATTCCGGTTGTTCTGTCGTAAAGGTCGCTTAGGCTTTTATATATATAGATTACCACCCGCAGCACTTGCTGTGTTAACATTCTGCCTAGTTCTTATTGGGCACTTTGTGCAGAAAAAAGGTAACTGAGGCTTGGAAAAGTTCAGGTCAGTAACTTGACCGAGCTCTCATGGCTTAAGTAAGGGGACGCTGCCTACAGCAAGAAGCAGTGAGTGCCCGGTAAACTCTGGAATCTTGCGCCTGCATTTAAATCCCAGCCCCCACTGCTTCCTACCATTGTGACCTTGACCTCTGCACGTCCATTTCCTCTCCCAGGGCTGTTGGGACAATTAAATTAGACCCTGGAAGTAGAGTGCTTCCCATAGTACCGCACAGTAAGTGCTGCACAAACTCTCTGATGCTTCTGGCTAGAGCAGCCACATCTGAAGGTGTGCACCCCGCGGGAGGTTCACGGTCACAGTGGGGACTCCAGTGCCCCTAGCTCAGAGGGCTCACCGTGCTGCCTTCCGTCTCCCGCCCAGGTACACCTCCTCGGTCAAGTACGACTCAGACCGGCACTTCATCGACGACGTCCGCCTGCCCCTGGGCCTGGCCGTGGCCTCCTGCAGCCAGACGGTCACCTGCATCCCCAACTGCACGTGGCGCAGCTACAAGGCCGAGCTGCGCTTCGAGCCCCGGCACAAGGCCACCCGCTTCCTCAGCACCACCATCATCTACCCCAAGTGCCCCAAGACCGTCTACACCACCACCCTGGATTACAACTGCCGCAAGACGCTGAGGAGGTTCCTGTCCAGCGTGGAGCTCGAGGCCTCGGAGTTCCCGGGCGGCGGGGATTACCTCTCGGACGAGTGCTGGCTGGGCGGGCTGCTGGGCCCGGCCAGCTCCTCCGCCGCCCTGGTCTCCGCCCTGGTCACCGCGGGCCCCGCTGCCCTCCAGTCTCACTCGTGCCCCCAGGAATCTAACCTAGAGACACCTCTAAGCCCGGCCTGGGGAAGAGAAAATGTCACGGCATCTTAGAGTGATCGAGAGAATTGGGTTTTTAAAAATGCTTTGTTTTGAAAAGGAGTGTCTTTCTAGTTTGCTGCTGTGCACTTTCCCCCAGAGTCTCAATCTGATGAGAAAACAGAGAGACGACTAGAGCGACGGGAAAAGGGCCACGGTGTGAACCAGGGAGGGGAGCGCCTCTCCGGGGGACTGTCGGTCTGAGAAAGAGGAGGAGAAGGCCTCTGATGGAAGCAGTGAGTGTGGCGGGGTTTCAGCCCCGGCCCTCGCTGCGGGAAGCGGCGCTCGCTCCGGGCCTGGGACGCCCATGTGGGCCCAATCTGTGCAGAGCCGAGTCCATGCCATGTTCTCTTTCCGTTCCCACTTCTATTTCCTGCTAACCCAAAGCCTGGGGTTCTCTCGGTCTTTTTCACGACATCAAAAAGCCCCAAACCGCAGAATAGGAATTTTTTTTTTAAAGAAAGGGAAGGCTCGTCCTGTGTTCACCTCCTCCCTTGGGCCAGGTGGACGATGGCGGAGTCTGGAGGCAGGGGCTTCGCCCCGGTCCCTCTGGTCACTCCTGAGCCCAGGCCCTGACAAAGTGCCTCGCACCCTTGGCATCTGGTGACGTCGCCACAGGCTTGTGTATTTGGGGCTCCCAAATACTTTCCTATTTTTTCACAAGGCAAAACAGCAGAGAGAAGCGGCATTTGAAAAGAGTGCTTGAGAGAAACGCTTTCGGGGACTCCACCAGGGGGCTTCACCCAGGACCTGACCCCACCTGGGGGCAGATGTCTGTTTCTGGTGACCTGGTCCATCAGGATGGGTGCCCCCCCAGGGCCCCTGGGTCAGCTGCACTCGGCCTCCACTGTGTCCACATTGCAGAGGAATTCCACCAGTGCCTTAGGTCTAAGCCGAAAGCAAGGAAACCCCCCCCCACCTCGACCGCCCCCGCCTCCTGTGAAGCAAAAGGTGAAGTCAAAGTAGGGCCTGATGCCCCAAGTCCAATTCCAAAACCTGGGCCTGGGTGCTGTTGTGACGGTTCCATTCCCTTAAGTGTTCATTTTAGTGTAAGGGACACAGCACTGAGTGTGAACTGAAGAAAGAAACTTCGTGAATTCAGCTGAACTGGCCTCAGAAGCAGGGGCGGTGGCTGGGCCAGGAGGGTGCAGGGGGCCAGGCTGCCTCTGCCTTCACCCCCTGCCCGCCCTGCCTCACCCCAACCCTTACTTCTTCCTGCCAATCCCTGAGGTTTCTGAGTGAAGAAAGTGGCAGATGGCTTTTTCTCTCCCGGTGCTGGAAAGAACAAACGCTGACTATTTCCTCTGACTACATCCAAATTGTCAAGTGCCTGAGGGTTACAGAGCACGGTTAGCTTGGGCTCCCGCTGTTTCTGCTGATGGCTTTGTCCATCGGCCCTGCAAGCAGAATTGATAGCTGTGTGGGCACCTGGAGCCACAGCAGGGACTTCTGTTCTGAGGAGAGCAGGTGTGAGCAGGAGAGATGATGATCACACCCATTTAAAGTCCTTGGAGGCCTATGGAGCCAAATTGTCTGGTGTCCTCCTCATGTTTAACCATGTGTGGTCGGTGGTGCTCCTAGCTGATTGCAAGCATCCCCCCGCCCCCAGCCTGTGGAGCCTGCAGGGGGCGGGACCTTCCTGAGTTTGCCAGGGTGGGGCCGGGGGAGGGGGGTGTCCCCTCTGGGGCCCTACAGTCTCCTTAGTCACGCTGAGCAACAAATGCTTCCTGTGTTTGGAAAAGCAAATGGCATGGCATTTATGAGAAATATGGATTTCTCTCTCCAATTCCATAGTCTTATCATGTAAGACACATGGTAAATGTGATTTTTAAATTATGTTAAGAGAATTCCCAAGGCTTTGCTCTGGCCCAATGGGGACAACTTGAGTGAGCTCAGGACACCGTCGTGGGCAGCCCGTCAGGAGAGGCGGGGGCTGGAGAGCAGGGCTGTAGGCACAGCCCGTGCTGAGACGTCCACGTGGGATTTCATTTTAGGGGCATTGGGTTAAGTTCAGGCAAGTCATTCTAGGTGGGGAGAGAATCGGAATGATATCCGGAAAGTAAGTAGAAGTGAGCGGTTGTGAATGTGTAATGCACATGGAAAAGCAGGTTTTATTTTAAGTTATTCACTAGGGAACCGACTGGAGTTCTTCCTCATCCTTTTCCCTCAAACCTGCTTGGCTGAACGTAGCAGCAAAGCAATCACGTGAAGACGCAGTGGGACACTCGGGGCGGCTGAATGACACCGGTGGATGGTGGGTTCCTGTTGGTTTGCAAGGCGGAAGCAGCGCTTTCTAAAACTCACTCGTTAAAACCAAACATTCCTGAGCGCACCTGGGAGACACCGTTTCCTTATGAATCAACGTCTTTTTCCTCAGGCTCTTGAGTGATGGCTTTCATGTAAGAAGGATGATTGGTGTTTTCAGAAAAGAAGTTGTTTTATTTCCATGACCTTTTAAGAATGAGTGATGGCCTGGTCATTGGATGCTTTCCTGTTTCTAACCTTAGGAAACCCAGGACAGCATTGGACAAAAGCTGTTTTTTAAATTTATCTTTGACCTCTGTTCCCCTCCATTTCGCTTTGTGACTTCTTCATTTAACAATAAATTATCTTTTAAAAAAAAAACCTTAGAGACGCTTCTCTTTTTTAAAGTAAGATTATAATGTTTTGGTTAAGAAAAATGAGAAAAACAGCTCTTTGTCTTAAAAATTTTTAAGATGTGATTGTAATTTCATAGAATATTTCTGTCTGGAATATGCCTTTCCTTGGGGTTACAAGATTTTCAAGGGGCCCCTGGGTACAGATGGTTTTGAGGAATTTGTTCCCAGATTCGATGTATACTCTTTCCTAAGACCCATCTGCCCTGAAAATGTGGCTGTGAATGATGGCAGGCCAGTCCTCCCTTCCCACCTCCCTTTCAAATGGCCCTTCTCCCACTTTGCAGAAGAAATACATGTCTTAGTCTAACCATCTTTTTAAAATATATATATTTTTATTGATTTCAGAAAAGAAGGGAGAGGGATAGATAGAAACATCAATGATGAAAGAGAATCATTGACTGGCTGCCTCCTGCATGCCCCCTACTGGAGATCAAGCCCACAACCCAAGCATGTGCCCGGACCAGGAACTGAACCCTGACCTCCTGGTTCATAGGTCGACGCTCAATCTCTGAGCCACGCCAGCAAGGCTGACCATCTTTAATTTTATTGGGGGTGATCCTCTGGTATCGTAAAACCTATAGGTACCAGACAAAAGAACAGTTAAAAACCTAAGTGTCTGGGTACCAGGACCCCACGGTAGATATTCATGTCTGTCAACGTCCTGCCATGATTTTGTCAAGGATGAAGAATGGTGGCAGAAGCAAGGGAAGCGCTCACTTCCAATTTCTCCTGAAGGGAGGCAGTTGGAGTGGTAACGCTTTTCATGTAATACCCACATCTCTCCAATCTCAGACTAATGTCCTCCCTGAGGGAAGGTCCCTTGGGGCCAAGCAAAGAGAGGATCGATAAGAAATATTGAAAGTGACGGCATCTTATTTCATTCAAGCATCACATTCATCGCAAGGCTCTGTGCCTTATCTGTCAGTCTTTAAGTTACGACTCAGAAAGAAATATGTCCCAGGGGATTGACTGTAGGGTGGAGGGGGTCAGTAGGGGAAAAGAGGGGGACATCTGTAATACTTTCAACAACAAAGATAAATTTTTAAAAAATTAAAATAATGTGAAAGAAAGAAAGATGTCCCAGGAATGCATATTACAAATCCTATAACTTTTTTTTTTAAGCCAATCTCTTTTTAACAGAAATTAAGTCTAACTTGGCTGATTGGGATGACAGTGAGGCCTAATATTGCCAATTAGGTTATACATATGGTGTAAATTTTCCATAAAACAAAAGTGCTAATCAGCAGTTCCAAGGTTTTGTTGGGAAAAATATTTACGGTGTGTAAGATATTAACGTTATAATTGTATGTGGTGTGGTGTGTGTAGAGAGAGAGACAAAAGTGTATTGAAACTAATAATGTTAGTTTATATAATTTTCCCTTAAAAAAATACCTTTCTAAGTATATCAGATTAAGCTGATGACCTCAAGAGAAGAAGTATAGGTATCTATACTAATAAAAGGGTAATATGCTAATTAAACCGGACATTTCTGGACATCCTTCCAGACAAAGTGGGTGCCAAGGCAGAGGTGGTTAGGAGTGATCAGGCCGGCAGGGGAGGGCAGTTAGGGGCAATCAGGCTGGCAGGGAAGCAGTTAGGGGCATCAGGCTGGCAGGCAGAGGTGGTGGTTAGGGCCGATCAGGCAGGCATGCAGGTGAGCGGTTAGGAGCCAGCGGTCCCGGATTGCAAGAGGGATTTTTGACTGCCCCCGAGGGGTCCCGGATTGGAGAGGGTGCAGGCTGGGCTGAGGGACCCTCCCACCCTGTACACGAATTTTGTGAACCAGGCCTCTAGTAATTAATAATAACATGATAAATCTTAGGAAGGCTTTTTGGTATACTTCCTAGAAATTTAAAAAGTGAATGATTCTATGGATTAAGTAATGAATCCTATGGCAAGAAATGCCTCTTTTCAAAATTAAATACTAATACTTTTAGCCCTGGCCGGTGTGGCTCAGCTGGTTGGGCATCGTCCCATGTTCCGAAAGGTTGCCAGTTTGATTCCCAACATGCCTGATTAAATCCCAAAGAGGATAAATAACAGGATGTATGTACAAAGACACATAGTCAAACTTCAGAAGAGCAAAGAAAAAGTACGGATCTTCAAAGTAGACTGAGAAAGAAGACAAGTTACCTAAAAATGAACAGGGAATATAATGATGGCTAAGTTCTCAATAACAACAATAGAAACCACGAAAAAGTAGAATTATATCTTCAGGGTTCTGAGAAAAATAACTATCAAATAAGAATTAAATACTCAGTAAAATGATTACCTTTTTAAAATTGATGATGAAATAAAAAAATTTTTAGACAAACAAAAACTGTTTACCACTTACAGCAATAAACTCTCACTAAATATTGAAGGTATGTTATTCAAGCAGGAGGAAAATTATTATTGTGATTATTCTAAAGTGCAAGAGAAAATAAAAGAAAAATGTATCAGTAAATCTAAACAAATATTGAATTATGAAATGATGATGATGATGTCTATATATTTGTATGGTTTAAAAAGCACTATGAAGACCCTTGTGTGGCTCAGTTGGTTGGAGCATTGTCTCATACACCAAAACGTTGCTGGTTCTATTCCCAGTTAGGACACATACCTTGGTTGTGGGTTGGATTCCTGGTAATGGTTCATATGGGAGGCAAGCGATCAATGTTTTTCTCTCACATCGATGTTTCTCTCTCCCCCTCTCTGTTCCTCTCTCTGTAAAAAAGCAATTTAAAATCTTTTTAAAAAAATCCTAATGCTTGTAGCGTATAATCACTACCAAGTGGTTTGTGTACATTACTATTTCCCATTGTGCTTTCTAGGGAGTAAATAAAGGCATCTGATCAAATGACTTGGGGGAGGTTAAAAGTTGAACAATGCTAATTATGTTTATTGAAGGGCTTCTAGGAACCCTTGTATTAACCGGCTTTTGTGGCCCGACAACCATCACAAACCACAGTGGCCCACAGCAGTAAGCAGTTACTTCTCGCTTACACGTTCATAGGTCCCATTGAGCAGTTCTGCCCAAGGCTGGATGTTGAGTTCAGGTTTGCCCCTCTGGTCTCTGAAGCAGGCTAGGGAGGTTGCCTGTCTCAAGGAAGAGTTCAAATAATACCCTAAAAACAGGTAGAAACATACAATGCCTCTTACGTTCTACACTGGTGCCCTGTCAACTTCCACCCGCGCTCTATGGGCCAAAGCAAGTTGCCTGACCAAACCTAACATCGCTGGGACAGGGTGCCATCCTTCCCTCCTTGGATGGGGGAGAATTGGGTATTTGTTGGAAAATAGCCTTTAATATGTTCATGTGCATTAAGAATCTTCAAACGGAGAAACCTAGTATGTAGCATTTTCCAAACACGTTGGCTCAGAGAACCCATGAGCATTTTATGGACTAAACTGACAAAAGCCATCAACAGGAGAAAAGGTATACAATTTTATTGAAGTTAATATTTTTACGTGCATGAGGGCCTCGCAGAAAAGAAGTAAAAACCCAAAGAGGTGGTTAGAGTTGGGAGCTTATATACCACTTTAACGACGAGTGATAAATTGAGAAGCGCTTAGACAAAGGAAAGGGGTTTTGGGCTTCTAGGGCCAATACATTGTGGGAAAGTAGCTAGGAAACATCTTTGGGATCTAATGGAAGATAAGGGTGATTTTAATAAGGTCTGTTTATGCAAACTCATCTTGGTACTGGCTCTCTGTCCTGGTGATCAGAGTTGCTCTCCTCATTCTGGTCAAGGAGAGGGAGGTGGGAATCTGTACCACCTTCACAAAGGGAAATTCATGTCCTGCTTTTATGCAGATAAGGGGGGAGCAAATAACTTTTCTTTCCTACATCTGTTGATTCTCAAATGCCTTCAGCTCAAAAGAATCCTTATGCCAAAGTGGCATATTTTGCTTTGGCATATGCTAGATCCCTTGCATCAGACCACCTGGGTTCAAACTAGCTCCATCCTTTCTTAGCTGGGTGACCTTGAATGAGTCCCTTAAATTCTCTGTACAATGGGTGCAGCGAGTTCGCTTCTCCATAGAAATGCTGTGAGGATTAAATGAGTTAATATATGCAAACTGCTTAGAGCAGTATTAGTTTAAAGGCTATGTAAGTGTTTTATTGTTTTAATTATCTTTTGGCTTTGTATTTTCAATTCCAAGAATGTACCCAAAGCACTGGAAAATTGCACTAAAATGTGCATATATGGACGTCCTTGCAAAGTTGTTTAGAATAGCCAAAAATAGGAAACCAAATAGATGTCCACAAATAGGGGCTGAATAAACTGTCTGTACAATGAAGCACTAGGCAAGCATTACCAAGCATGATGTGGGTGTCTATTTAGTGGTTTGGAAAGATGTCCATGCTGTCTTTTCAAGAAAACCATTAAAAGACAACATATGTGCCCCGCCGGCGTGGCTCAGTGGTTGAGCGTCGACCTATGAATCAGGCGATCATGGTTTGATTCCCGGTCAGGGCACATGCCCCGGTTGCGGGCATGATCCCCAGTGTGGGGAGTGCAGGAGGCAGCCAGTCAATGATCCTCTCTCATCTTTCTATCTCTCTCTCCCTCTCCATTCCTCTCTAAAATCAATAAAGAAAACCACTATACTAATAAAAGGGTAATATGCTAATTAGACTGGACGTCTTCCGGATGACCTTCCAGACGTTCTTCCTGACAAAGCCAGGCCCGGGTGAAGCCACCCGCCTGCAGTCCTGGGCGCTAGCGGCTGTGGCTGTGGCCCGGGAGAAGGAAAAGGTGCCGGCTCCCTGTCCCAGGCACCTGCAGCCTTCCAGAGGGAGAGAAGCCCGGGTCCCGGGTGCCTGCGGCCAGCCAGAGGAGGGAATCCTGGGTAGTGGTTGCGGGGCCGAGGCAGAGGAGGTTAGGGGCGATCAGGCCGGCAGGGGAGCAGTTAGGGGCGATCAGGCAGGCAGGCAGAGGTGGTTAGGGGCAACCAGGCAGGCGAGCGGTTAGGAGCTATCGTTCCTGGATTGTGAGAGGCATGTCCAACTGCCAGTTTAGGCCCAATCCCTGTGGGCAGTCAGACATCCCCCAAGGGGTCCCAGATTGGAGAGGGGGCCGGCCGGGCTGAGGCCCCCCCCCCCCCCCCAATGCATGAATTTCTTGCACTGGGCCTCTAGTATATTATAAAAAGAAAATGACTAGAAGTCTGGACACCAAACAGATGAGGACAGCTCTCTCTGATTGGAGGGACTATTACATGTTCTCAAATACTTTTTGCTTATCTGTGTTTTCTGATTTGTCTGTGATAAGTATACATTTCCTGTCTAGCTTGAAAAGTAAAACCTGAGTGTAGAACTGTGTACAGCTTTCTGGTGAGGTAAGTGTAGAGAAACAGAGTCTGTCTGTCCCTTAGACGAGGCTGGAGGACAGTGAAGAGTCAGATTGTGATGCTATTTGCAGTTTAACAGCGTAGCCGGCCGCATTTCCGTGGCTGTTGCTACAGATATGAGACTCTTGGGTCAGAGACAAAGGACAGTTTATTCGTCACGGCAATCGCTAGCGCATCGGCGCTTGTGCTGGGTTCCAGCCTCGGCTCCCGGAGAGAGACGTGAAGAGGGCCAGGTGGCACCGGACACAGGGGTTGTGTTACCGCAGAGGAACTCCGAGCTGAGAACTGGAATCTTCTGTAACAAGCAGTAAGCAAATCGCCCCGAGCTCTGGGGCACTCCCGTCTCCCAAGACTGTGCGTCAGACCAGCATCCTTCAGAAGACCGCCTGGGCCAGCGGTGGCTCCCCTCCCAAGATGTACAGACACCCGGAGACCTGGGGGGAAGCGGCTCCCACAACCCCAGCTTCTCAAATGTTAATGGGCATGTGAGTCACCCAGGGATCTTGTTAAACTGCAGGGTCTGATGCAGGAAGTCTGGGGCGGGGCCTGAGCGTTGGCTCACGAGAGAGTTTCTAACAAGCTCCAGGCCACGTTGGTGCTGCTGGCCCCAGGCCCACACGTTGAGCGAGGCCTTGGGCAGCGGTCGCAGGCCAGAGTGCTGGCCGGGGGCTGTGATTAAGTGGGGATGTGGAGGGAGGTGGATCCCTTCCCGGTGATGATCAGAGGGGGAGGTGTCGATAAGTTTACTAAAGGCTGGATTTGACCATGAACAAGTACACAGTGTGGCCAGAAGGCCTGAGAAAGTGTTTTCCCACCACCCAGGGCCCTCTGGAGCCCAAGTGTGAGAGGTTTCTGCCTCCCCAGGAAGCTTCTCTGCCCCCACAGTTCCCAGAAACACTCTTCCTCCCAGCACCACCCCACCTGCCTTAGCCACTGACCCGCCAACAAGCCCCGTTGCTGTCTTTGTCTCTTCCTGTTGTGGTTCAACTCTGGGAGACTGCGAGAGCCTTTCGGAGGGACCACAGCATAGTCACCCATTGCCCTTAGCTTCTGTGTGACCCTGGGCAAGTCCCCCCATCTGAGCCCCTTTCCTCCCGTGCGAATGGGCGCTGACACCCTCCCACCTCGAAGACTGTTGTGGCCACGAAAGGGAATCGGGGATGTTCGACGCCTAACACCAGGTGGGGACGGGCGGACCTGCTCGGTGAACTCTATCGTACTGAGCAGTTGCTTGATAAACATTTCCTAAAAGGACAATTGGTGACCTTAAAGCAGATCTCTTACAAGTTGTGTGATTTGAGTAAGTCACCTCTTCTCACTAAGCCTACACTGTAAAATGGAGATAGCCCAGCTGGTGTGGCTCAGTGGTTGAGTATTGACCTATGAACCCCGAGGTCACGGTTCGATTCCCGGTCAGGGCACATGCCCAGGTTGCGGACTCGATCCCCGTATGGGGCGCGCAGGAGGCAGTCGATCAATGCTTCTCTATCATTGATGTCTCTCTCTCTCTTTCCCTTCCTCTCTGAAATCATTAAAAATATATTTTTAAAAAAGAAAGAAAATAAAATGGAGATAATTCTGAGGGAACTCAAGTGAGGAACAAATGAGATAGAAGAACTTTATAAGATGACCTAAAATATTATAATTACAAGGTAGGGGCAGGACACAAATCGCATACCATGAAAATACATGTGACTAGCTCTGTCCAGCCCTAGGCATGAGGCATGGCAAGTAGAAACCACGCGGTCCCATCTAGCACACGGCAGCCAGCAGCTCCTCCCCCTGCAGGGCGCAGCATCGCTCCTGGAGATAATGCACACTCCTGGGAGCACTGGCCCTGGGTGTCTGTGGTGCCTGGTGACAAGTGGCTTCTTACAGTCAGGCTGGCTTTGGGTTTTCCACTCTTCAGATCAAGGGCGAGGCAGCTGGCCAAGAGGCACAACTAAGGTGAAGGAGGTGGCCTGCGGCATGCTAGCTGCTGTGTAACAAAAGTACCCCAAAACGTAGTGGCTTAAGACAACTTTATTATCATCTCACAGTTGCTGTATGTCAGGGACCTGGGGTAGTTTAGCTGGTGTCTCGTCCAGGCTGTCTTTCCCTTGGGCCTGGGGCGCTGGGCGAGGCCCTGTGTGTGTCTCCGCTCTCTCCTCCTCAGGGAGCCACACCAAGCCCTGGTCCTCCTCCCTTGAGTCCCCAGGTCCTCCTCACCCTGCTCAGCACAGGCCTCCGCACAGGGAGGGCCACTCCCGTCTGCTTCAGGGACCCTGCGGGCGTGGCTGCCGACCTCCTTTCCGGGGAGGACAGGGCTCTTCCAAAAGTCCCTTCCCTGTATGTTGCCAGGTTACAAAGGCCGACACGTGAAAACTCTGCCGCTGGCCTTTCAAGGAAGGGCGAGGAGAGGGCTGCTCTGCCAGTGGCAACCAGGGTAAGCACTTTTGCCTAAAGGTCAGGTAAGTGGTCCGTGGTGTTTTGCATTGACTTCCAACCTCTCCTAGAATCCTGCATGTCTTGTGTGTGTGTGTTTAGAATCCTGTATGTCTTTGTGTGTGTGTGTTTATTATCCTGCATGTCTTGTGTGTGTGTTTAGAATCCTGCATGTCTTGTGTGTGTGTGTGTGTGTGTTTAGAATCCTGCATGTCTTTAACTCCTTGGCAGGCAGGGACCTCATCTTAAGCCTCCACTCTGTCCCTCCCAGGCCCTGCATGGGGTTGCACACAGGTGGCCGATACTACCCCAGAGACCACCCCCGTGTCTTGGTCCTTTCGGTCTGCATCTCTGTATCTGAGGGTGATTCCCCCACAACTGAGGTAGCGTCTAGGCCCACAGGTGTGCAGGCTGGAAAGGCCAGGAAAGGAGCACCCCAGGCCCAGCCCTCAGCTACCGGAAGGCGGGCAGGCTAATCCTGACAGTGTTTCCCTGTGAGATGAAGCCCCAGTTGTCCCGCATGGAAGTTGGTTTAATAGTGTCTGGGGACTGGTGCGGCCATTATGGAAAACAGTATGGAGTTTCCACAAAAAATTAAATATGGAACTGCCATTTGACCCAGTGAACCCACTTCTAGGAATAGATCCTAAAAACCCCAAAATACCAACCAGGAAGAATGTATGCACCCCTATGTTCACAGCAGCACAATTTACAATAGCTAAGATCTGGAAACAGGCCAAGTGCCCGTCAGTAGATGAGTGGATAAAAAAGCTGTGGTACATTTACACCATGGAATACTATGCAGCAGGAAAAAAGAATCTCTTACCCTTTAAGACAGCATGGAGGGAGAGTATCATGCTAAGTGAAATAAGTCAGTCAGAGAAAGACAAGTATCACATGATCTCACTCATATGTGGATCCAGAGATGTGGAAGCATGGAACAGAGTGCGAAAACTCGGAGGGAAGGCGGGGGAGTGTGGGTGGGTAGGAAGTAATTAACCATGGACTGGCCCATGGACACAGAAAATGGGGTGGCAAGAGCCTGGGGCGGGGGGTGGAGAGGGGCAGGCTGAAGGGGGTCAATGGGGGAATAAAGGGGACATATGTAATACTTTCAACAATAACTAATTTTACAAAAATAGTGTCCCTGGATTGGCTGTCTTGTGTGTTTGTGTGTGTGTGTGTGTGTGTGTATGTGTTAATCCTCACCGGAGGATATTTTTGCCATTGATTTTTAGAGAGGGTGGAAGGGAGGGGAGAGGGGGAAACAGGTAGAGGGGGCAGAGCGAAACATCGATGTGAGAGAGAAACATCGATGGGTTGCCTCCTGCACACACCCTGACCAGGGGTCGGGAATCGGACCTACAACCCAGTTGTGTGCCCTTGACCTGGAATCAAACCCTCGAACCCTCCGACGCATGGGCCAATGCTCTAACCACTGAGCCACGCCGGCCAGGGCTTAGCTGCCTTTTCTTCCCTGTTTCTGTTGATCTTTCCTTCACCTCCCAAATAATCTACTTGCACCCGAGTCCTCGTCTCAGGGTCCGCTTCTGGGGGAACCCAAACGAAGAGAACAGTGGCCCTCGCTCGATATTTGTGGAAGGGAAGCATGGCAACCCGGGACAGGTAGCATAGCAGAGCCTTTGCAAAACTTTGCTTAAAACGCCATTTGGGGGGATTCGGGGGGGACCGTGCTTATAAGAGAAGCAATATTCACTTTGCGGCTTCTCAGCATAACCTCCCAGGAATGGCGTCTGGGGCTCACTTGTCCTGAAGACCACATCAGGGCAGGGAGCGTGTTTAATGAATAGGAAAGATCTCCAGGATATTTGCAGCATTTTCCTAGAGCCCACAGAGGGTGCTGTGTCTGGAGCTTTACCCACAAAATTCGTTTAAGAGTTAGAATTGCTAGGATCTATACACGTTCCCTTTTTTTTGGGGGGGGGGAGGTGGCAAGTTATCTAACTGTGATGAGAAATTAAAGGACAAAGAGATGCCAGCTTATCTGAGCAAAAGGAAAGGCAGAAAAAGACCTCGTTCGCTAAACTGCGTGTGTGAAGGAGCGGTGGCTGTCCCGGGCCCCTGAGGGCACCGCGGTGGCAGGCGAGTGACCTCATCAACAACGCACCAGAGGTCTGCTTCCTGCAGAGGTAGGTCTGATTTCCTTTTATTCTTCTCCTTTTTCTAACACATAAACTTGCGGTAAGGATAAAGGATAAGCTTGTCAGTCTCACGGGTGGGTTTTCACTCGGGCAGAGTGGCGACCAGATCAGTGTGGGAGCCCCAGGGCCAGGCTTCCCTCCAGGTAGTCGTCAGGGCCGGCGACTTTTAACGCGAGCTGCCTGCTGTTGGTGCTGTCCTGGGAGGGGCAGGCTGGGTTCTCCGGCTTCTCCTCCGCACAGGGGTCAGAGTGGATGCCCTTGAGGGCCAGGATCCGGTACCGCTTCCTCCGGTTGAGCTTGTATATGCGAATCCGCTCCTTTTCTGCCTCTGGGTCGGCGAGAATTCCATCCCAGCGCAGGCTCTCGTTGATCTTGTTGGAGAGTTTCTCTTCTAATTTGCCAAAGTTGGGGAGATTGACGGAGGAGGAGAAAGAAGGGGCGAGCTGGTTTGGCTCTTTGTCCTGCCTGTGCTCTGGTCTCGGGCCATGATCTTTGCCGGGACTCAGGACATTGTGGAAAGATGAAGACAGCTGCTGATGCTTCAGGCTTCGGCTGTGATGTTTATCTGCTGAGCAGATGAGCAGTGTTAGCGTTTGCGGTGCTCGGGAAGGATGCCAAACTCACCAAAGATATAAGGGGGTGGGGAGTGCAGGCCCCTCCTTACCTAGGGCTCAGTGGCCACGCCCACCAGCCTGGGACACACTCCACCGCCCTATGCTTTAGTTGAGCACCTACTATGAGCCAGTCCTCTGGATACAGGCTATCAGCCCAATTTTCCAGGTGAGGAAACAGACTCCGAAAGTCTCCATAACTTGCCAATGTTATATAGCAGGTGGGAGGGCCAGGATGTGTGTGTGTGTGTGTGTGTGTGTGTGTGTGTGTGTGTGTGTTTAGCGCCAGGATTTTGAATGCAGGCCTGACTCCCAGGGCCCTGTTCTCTCCTCTGTGCCACGCTGCCCCTCACTTCACCTCTCCACATGCTCACCCAGATTCATTCAGTTCTAGGCGCCCATGACTCTGCCCCCCGTCTAGACTTCTTTATGATGGAGAAATGGAGAACAGAAAAACTTCCTGCATCTGACTGTGGAAAGCAATATTATGCCAAGCCAGGAAATACTTCTGCTGTGTGGCTTGTACTGATTTTTTTTTTACATTAATAAGCATTCCTGAGTTATATAACACACACATAAGCGGTGGTTCTTTCATCAGCTTATCCTTCTTTTTGGTGGGGAGGGAAATCTCCCCCACCCCCACCCCCCCAAAAAAGAGAAAAAAAATACTCTTTTGACATTTCTATACCTTTCTACTCCCCCAAAACTATTTGTTGTCCCCTGCTGACAGTAGGAAGTACATGCCACTCTAATTTCTAGAGTCAGAAGCTAAGCCAAAAAGACAATAAATTTTCCTAATTTGGTTTTGCAGACACAAAACCAAAGGAGGGCTTTTTGACCTAACCTCCAGAATTGATTGTGTGCCTTTTTATTACGATGCCACCTGATGAAGTAATTGTGATCTTCCTATTGCTTCCTTCCCCAAACTTCCAGGTTGACATGGGGCAGGCTGCCACTCCTTCTGCCTCCAGCTCGCCCGGGGTGCCAGCTCTGCACACAAAGGCCCAGGGCCAGAAACTGGACCCAGGACTAGCCACACTAGAGGTCAGGGCTGCTAAGCCAGGGTCAGTGAGAGCCCCTCCCAGAGAGCCAAAGCCTGGAGGGAGACCACCCAGGTGACAGTGAAGACAGCGTTTTACGTCAGTTATTCTCTCTCCATAAAATAGGTGCTCAGTGCCTTTGTCAAGAAATCAGGGGGTCCTATGAGAAGAGTTCAGGGAGATGTAGGGGTTCCGTGGGTGTGTGGCAGCGGTTGGTGTGTGGATCTGATGTGTCCTTGAGAGAGACTGGAGTGAGGCCTGCATGCACACAGTTGTCTGTGGACAGGAACTGCTTGGGAGGGGGTCTCTGCATGTGAGTGTGAAACAGTATCTGTGTAGGCTGTGGCTGTGTGTGCCTGATGGGGTATCTGTGCTTTAGTTTTATTTGGTGCTTATAGTGACATAAAGGGGTGTTGCTGAGGATGTTTGGGATTATAAAATTACGTAGCAATGACGGATGTGATGGTGTGTGTGCAGTTGAAGGCTGGCCTTGGTGGACGGGTGGTGGGGATGACCGTCTGTGCAGGGAGGATACTACTTCATATGCATTAACTGGGTGTCTGTATAACATCCAGAGGCCAGCTACCCCTGAGGAAGGAGGAGGCAAGGAGGGTCTCTAGACAGAAGGCAGAAGTCTGTGTTTCTGTGTGTGAGGAGTGTCGGCCTCTAGTGCCTTAGTGGCTTTGGTTTGGGGGAAGTCGGTGAGGATGAGGCGATCTCTGCAGGAGGGCTGAGATTTCTGTGGGGAAGGTAGGGAGGTTTAGGATTGCAATTCAGCTGAGGGGTTAGGAAGCTGAGAGAGTATCTGTAAAGGTGAGGTGCTGTGTGGGACTGGGAGACTGGGAATAATGCTGGGTATGGGGGTGTCTTTGTTTGGGGTAGAGTGTCTCCATGGATGTTGAGAATTCTCGATGCAGGATTTGAGATCTCTGTGCTCTTTGGGGCAAGTTTCTGTGTACGGATGGTCTTTATGAGCAGGGGAGGGGCATCGCGGTGCAGCGTAAGTGGGGAGCGGGAGGACCTCTATCTGGGACGGGCGAGTGCCTGTTTCTGGTCTGAACTGGTCCCCAGGTAGATGGGGGTCTCTGTGAGGGACGCGGGTGGGTGACCTCAGGGGGGGTGGGGGTTAGGGGGAGAAATCTCAGGTACAGGAGCTGAGGCTTCCGAGCTGGCTGTTCCTCTTACCGTCTCCCTTGCCTGACCTCTCAGTCTTTCTCTTCTTCTTTTTCTTCTTCCCCTTCCGTTTGGGCTCTGGGGCGCAGCTGGAGATGGGAGGCAGTCTGGACTCCTTTGTGGCCGCAGGGCCGCCCTCTAGCTCCTCTTCCTCATCCTCATCACCCTCGCCA